TACTACTAAATTTTAATAAGCATGATAAAGCGCAACTTTTGGCAAAGTTTTACAAAAATATGTATGTAGGGTTCAGAGCTACCTTAAAGTTTTCAAACTTTAAGGTGGCTCTGAACCAATCCATAATGACGTTCAGATAATGAAGCTATAGAGGCAGATGCGCGATTTGTTTTCGCGAAACCTGTATTTGCTTTTCAACCTACGCTTTTAACTTTAAACATTTTCGTTTTGGCTGTATGAAAGATCAGCTCTCTCGCATTCTTGAGCTATGACGCCTTCAATTGTCTGAAAAGCGCGGTCTAAATAGGGCAAAGAAAACTGATCTTTATACCGGGGTCACAAGGAAATCCAAATTAAAAATTGTTCTTGTCGGAAAAGAAAAAGGAGGAAAAGAAAAACCAAAAGTACAATATGTCGATATATTAATTGCCTGCATGTAAACAAAGAATACACAACGTCTTGCCCATTAGAAAGGGAAAGTATCTACGATTGATATTCTGCTCTATACATGTTGCTAAATTCTCACCTGTATTTCAAGGGTTCGTGACAACTCTTTAAAGGCTTGACTGCTCTCATTCTCAAGATCTTTATTCCACGTCCGTTGGAGACTTAACTCAATGACAAGATCTAGAATATAAGTACATAAATAGGTCAGAACAAAAGTGCACGAAACGAGAGAACATTAAGAATGATGCAAATACGTTTATACACAAACCGACTGACTGACTGACTAATTGACTGTTAGACTGGTTTACTGATTGATTGATTGATTGACTGATTGATTGACCGACTGATTGACTGACTGACAGTAACTAATTGATTGAGTTGTTGAGTGAATGAGTGACTGACCTAACGCAGACCTTTTTAATGATCGAGTGAATAAACCATAGTTAATAGAGGAGAATGGTTATGAAACCCGACAAAGATCCTTGTTGTATGTTTTTGTTCACTTTTTTAACCTTGACCGTGTACAAAACACAATAGTTGTTTACTCCGTACTGAGGAACTAAGTAACCAATAGAAACGTTTCGGTTACGTAATTCACGCATAGTGTATGAGCGCAAAACAAAAGATTGTGCACGGTCGTGGACCTTCCAACATAAATCTT